TGAAAGCCAGAAAGGAATTGGGGGGTGGGGGAGGCGGGGGGGGGGGAGAAGCAAAGGGCCTGATCCTCATAACCTTTGGGATGAGGTTAGAGGGTCGGTGATGAGCAAAACTAACCCTATAATAGCAGCTTCATCAAGACAGTTAGTTGGCACTTCTAGGATTTGATACAGATTGCTTCTAACGCGGAGGCAGGAGGAAGTTGGCTAGTTAAGAGAGAACTCCATTCGGATGACAGCCGGACCTCCTCTTCTTCCCCTTCCTTCTCCCTCCAGAAAGAGATCAAATAGAGGAAGACGCACGCAAGCAGGTCTCTGGAGAAATCATCAGGCATCAGCAGCTCTTTCCTCAGCCTTTGATTCATTTTTCCTCCCAGTGCGGCCGGCCGCGTACGGCTTCCCTAACTGACATTCACGGCAAAAAAAATACCAGGCATAATTTCCCTCTGCAAATTCTGCTCTTGCATTTGTGTCAACGGCACTTTGTAAAAAGCCTGACATTTATGAAGATCTCCTTTGGCTCTGAGACCAGAAGCTTGGTGGAGATCTATTGCCGAAGGCGATAAGCATGAGCCTCCTAAGCCTTGATGAGTTTTGGAATGTGGTCAGGATGATAACCAGAAGCCGGACAAACAAATACGTGTGATCTACGATCCTGAGCAATCCAAACTTTGGTCGGGGGATGCAGGGCACGCCTACCCAAAAATTACGTTCTACTTTTAAATGGTGACTAAATGCAAAAGGGGAAGAGGGATTTTTGCTTATTGGAATTGGTTTGCATACTTGTTATTCTCTTTATTCATAGAGGCACGTGAAAGTCTCTTTTCTGGGGCATCTTTTCTCCATCACTGTCGATAATAGCGGAATCCTTGCAATAAGGAAATTGCTGATTTTTTTCTCTTCTTCTCCTCTTCCTTTCCTTCTCCCCTCTGTTGCTACAGGAGAAATTACTATGGAGGAAACTGGGCCAGTTTTAGCTTCTCGGGATTATTGTCCTGGATAAAAGAAAACCAAGTAAGGAGCAGCATTATTGTTTTTATCTCAAATAACTATTTTTTTTGTCGAAGTATTAGTTTTAATTTAAATATAAGTCTTCCAGGCCTGTCTTCCCTTTTTGGGAGCTGGAGTTGAGAATTCTCACATTGGTGGGGGAGATAAGGCGAGACGTTCTTTTCCCACCTCCTAATTTTAAATGATTTTAACTTTTCTGCTTAAATTAAATGCCATCCAGAAGGGATCAGTTGATCGATTCACCCAGTGAAAACAACATAATGACAGCCTGTGACTGAGCTCCTTCTGCCTATCTCCAGAACCTTTCGAAGATCACACTGCACACCAGTCAGCAAGTTAGGGCTTGGGCTTGGGGTTTTTTTTTTTTTGGTTTTTTTTTGCAAAATAGAAAAAAAAAATGAACGAAGGCGAATCTACGTGTCCCAGGATAATGTTGCAGGATCCAGTCTGGGTCAGTCACCGGGATCCAAGTTTTTAATCTTTCGAGCTTTTGGATTCGTGCTGGAGCCGATCCTCGGGGAACTTCTTTCTCTTGACACATTCTGGTGAGAGAGAAGTTTTCTGAGGAATGGCTGCAACATGAGCCCAGAAGCTCGAGGGATAGAATCAAGATCACATGAAGTATTAATACCTTGGTAAGGCCACACTTGGAATACTGCATCCAGTTTTGGTCACCACGATGTAAAAAAGATGCTGAGACTCCAGAAAGAGTACAGAGAAGAGCAACAAAGATGATTAGGGGTCTGGAGGCTAAAACATATAAGGAACGGTTGCTGGAATTGGGTGTGTCTAGTTTAACAAAGAGAAGGACGAGGGGGGACATGATAGCAGTGTTCCAATATCTCAGGGGCTCCCCCAAAGAAGAGGGAGTCAAGCTACTCTCCAAAGCCCCTGAAGGCAGGACAAGAAGCAACGGATGGAAACTAATCAAGGAGAGAAGCAACTAGAACTAAGGGAGAAACTTCCTGACCGTTGGAACAATTAACCAGTGGAACCACCTGCCTCCAGAAGTGGTGAATGCTCCAACACTGGAAGTTTTTAAGAAGAGACTGGTATAGGGTTTCCTGCCTGAGCAGGGGGTTGGACTAGATGACCTCCAAGGTCCCTTCCAACTTTATTATTATTACTATTATTACTATTACTACTACTACTACTACTACTACTACTACTACTACTATTATTATTATTATTATTATTATTATTAAATTTCTAATCCCGGGGACCGACCCAGATTGGATCCTGCAGCAAAAAAAAAAATTCTTAAGCCTACTGTTATTTGGTTGTTATTGTTTTTTTAATTCCAAAAATGAAGAAAATGACTGAAAATTCCAATAATACTACAATGCCCCACCTGGCCTTTAACCTTTTTAAAAAAAAATAGTTCTTTTTTTTAAAAAAATGAAGTCTTCATCCATATGATGATTGTCTTCTTATGTTGTAAGAATCATGAGCCAGTTAGAATGATCTGTAGGTATATTTGCTGCCTGCATTCTGTCATGCTGTACTTTGCAGAAGTCAAGGAAAGATCAGCTTGCTTTCAAAAACCATATTGCAACTTGTTGAGCCTCTAACAGCTTGATCTTATATACAACGGGACCGAGATTTTTATTCCTGCCATTTTAAAAGTTTAAACGAAACAAAAATATTACCACGCTATTTGGTTCCCGCCCCCTGTCTTTTCTAATATAAACTTTATTTTCTTTGTTCCTGTCATTACAAGGAGCAGGCTGATCCATGTGAGGAAAGTACAGCTTGGCAAGAACTAATTCTTGAAAATGAGGAAGCAATTCCTCTTAACAAGGAAGACCAAACCATCCAGAATGTAGAATATTTCTGCTATGTTAGGTGAGTACAAGGTGGTATGCATATAATTTAATAGATGTGTTTGCATATTCTACTAAGTCCTGTTTTTAAACTCTGAATTATTCAATTAGCCACAGTTTAGTGGGTGGAGGATCCCAGATTGATATAATGCAGTGTGTAACTTCAATCCTGGTGGTTATTTGGAAGGGGATAATGAAAAGTAAAATCCTCAACCTTCTAGAGGAGATGTTTGGAACTGCTTGCCACTTCAAGCATTATGAAAGTCTCAGTGACTTCAGAAATCTAACCCATCCTTCTCTGTACTAAACTTGAAAACTTGTGATGAAAAAAAATTTGTCTACTTACTGAAACCATCCTACCCTATTAATGCAGCAGTTTCACTCTCATTATAAGATGTCATGACTCTTCCTGTGTGGCTTGTGGAAATACACAGATATATTTTTGGGCAATGGGCAATAGCTATACTTTCATATATTATAAAACAGGGGTCTTCAAACTTGGCCCTTTTGTGACTTGTGGACTTCAACGTGTCTGTCTGAGGAATTCTGGGAGTTGAAGTCCACCAGTCATAAAAGGGCCAAGTTGGAAGACTCCTGTTACAAAAGCTTGACTCTTCCTTGATTTGAGCACAATTGGGGAAAACAAATTGTCCTTAAACATGGAGAATAGTAGCCATTTTCTCAACGAACATTTTATCTGTTTCTAACCCACTCAAGTCTGTAGCTTTTGGTAGCCAAAGCTTTTGGTAGCCAACCCCCTTGGGTATCTTATTTATTTATAGCTTATTCAGTGCATATCCTACTTTTTGTTTTTCAGTATAAACAATTTATTTGTTGTTGTTAGTTGCGAAGTCATGTCTGACCCATCGCGACCCCATGGACAACATTCCTCCAGGCCTTCCTGTCCTCTACCATCTTCTGGATCCATTTCAGCTCACGCCTACTGCTTCAGTGACTCCATCCATCCACCTCATTCTCTGTCGTCCCCTTCTTCTATCGCCCTCAATCTTTCCCAGCATTAGACTCTTCTCCAGTGAGTCCTTCCTTCTCATTAGGTGGCCAAAGTATTTGAGTTTCAGCTTCAGGATCTGGCCTTCTAAAGAGCAGTCGAGGGTTGATCTCCTCTAGGACTGACCGGTTGGATCGCCTTGCAGTCCAAGGGACTCGCAGGAGTCTTCTCCAGCACCATAGTTCAAAGGCCTCCATTCTTTGGCGCTCAGCCTTTCTTATGGTCCAACTTTCACAGCCATACATTGCAGAATAAATATTTCCTTTTGTCTCTTTCCTTTTGCCTATTAATTGGTTTCATCAGGTGACCGGAATTATGATGAACGATAGATATATCATATCTTATGATTTACGAAGTATGATTATGAATAAAGAAGAAGAAGAATGCATGTTGGCTTTCTTCTCAGTGTATAACATTAATTAACTTCTATCGTTTCCGGTCTCCTTTTTCTCCGTATTAAACAGCTCCAAACATTTGCAACCTTTTCCTATAAGGGAGTGAGTTGCTCCCAACACTTGACTATTTTGGGATGGGGGTGGTTTACATCTTTTCTTTTTCTTGCAGCTCTCGATCGGTTATTTCATCTGCACCAGCTCTTTCCTTTGGATATTTTTTTAAAAAATTGAGCCCATTTAAAAAAGAAAAGCTGTTTAAAACCAAACCCAAATCCTTGCATCTGATTTAATGCTCCAGGAACAGTTGATCGACACCTGTGCTTCAGGGTCCCTTTTTTTTACCCCCTTTGCTTCTTAACTTGCCTGAACTCCTATGAAGTTGCCATTAAACATTTATTTTGAAAGAATAAAACAGCTGGGTAGCAGCGGCAATAGAACGTACAAAGCTGAACCCGGAGCAGGCCGCCGAATAAAGTGCATCCATCAAAGGAAGAGAATACCGTTTCTGCAACTAGTGGGAGAGAGAAAAGGAATTAAAAAAAAAAAAAAGGGAAGCGACTGAAAAATAAATAGTGAACACCTGTGCTGCATATTAATTGGTCGACCAATCGTCAAAAAGAAAACTGGATAGCCTTCCCACTGCTACCGCCTCGTAATTATTCTGTGTAACCGAAACTCTCTAAGGAAACAACCATGGTAATTAATTACTTACTGCGATCTATTACAAGTCTTAAATGTGGTGTTAACCACGACGTCTACATAGGGAAAAACCCTCTATCACAATGGCTTTTTGGAGCGAGGGGTGGGAGATTTCCCCCCCACACACACACACACGCCACCCCCACCCCCCAGACCTGTACAAAGATTTAAATGTGAACATTTTTTTCCCTGCTTCAATTTTTATTGCCGCATCTATTCTGTTTGAAAATGATGTCCTTAGGTGAAAAATATCCAGGACGGCGATTATAAATTTCAGATTCGCGCTCTAGATTCAAGGGAGCGTGTTGCTTTTTAATTCATTGTTGTTGTTGCGGGAATATCAGATGGAAGTTTCTGCTTAGTTGGAAGGCTGGCAGGGAGCGATTTTTTTTCAGCTCTCTGCAGACAAAGTTGATTGGATTGACCCCATTTGGAACCCACCGACAAGTTAGTCCTCGCCTTACGACCTCAGTGGAGCCCGGAATTTATGTCGCTAAGTGAGAGGTTTGTTCAGTGAGTTTTGCCCCATTTTCACAACCTTTCTTGCCACAGTTGTTGAGTGAATCACTGCGGTTGTTAAAATAGTCGCACGGTTGTTCAATGAATCTGGCCTCCCCCTTGACTTTGCTCGTTCGGAAGGTCATAAAAGTGGATCACATGATCCCAGGACACTGCAAGGGTCATAAAATATGAATCGGTTGCCAAGTGTCTGAATTTTGATCACATGATCATGGGGATGCTGCAATTGTCATTCGTGTGAAAAACGGTCATGTCACTTTTTCAGTGATGATGATGATGATAATGATAATGATAATAATAATGATAATAATGATAATGATGATGATAATAATAATAATAATAATAATAATAATAATAATTCAAACAGACAAGCACCTGCAACATAACACCCCAGACTTAACAATTGTCGATAAGAAAGACAAAAAAGTCTGGATAGTGGACGTGGCAGTGCCTGGAGACAGCAGAATAGACGAGAAAGAACTGGAGAAGATAACAAAATACAAAGAACTACAAATAGAAATAGAAAGACTATGGCAAAAGCAAGCAAGGGTAGTACCAATAGTAATAGGCGCCTTGGGTGCAATCCCAAAACAACTGGAGCACCACTTGAACACCATCATCGGCATTGACAAATTCACCATTAGTCAATTGCAAAAGGCGGCCTTACTAGGAACTGCTTTCATCCTGCGACGAGATCTGTAATACTATCAAACATCCACATCTGCCTATCCCAGGTCCTTGGTAAGGACTCGATAGGTAGACAAAATGCCAAATCCAGTCTGAACATCTGGCTGACTGTGCAGTGATCAATAATAATAATAATAATAATAATAATAATAATAATAATAATAATAATAATAATAATAATAATAATAATAATAATAATAATAGTAGTAGTAGTAATAAAGTTGGAAGGGATCTTGGAGGTCATCTAGTTCAACCCCCTGCTAAGGCAGGAAACCCTATACCATTTCGGACAAATGGTTGTCCAGTCTCTTCTTAAAAACGTCCAGTGTTGTATTTGTCTTACTCCGGTACATTTGATAGCAGAGTCCACAGGGGCAGATATTTAAAAGAAAGAACTTTTAATCCATTTAAAAGAAATAGAAATGTTGTAACTGAACGGTCACTAAATGAACTGTTGTAAGTTGAGGACTACCATCGCCATGCCTACACACACGTACAAACGTGGGAGGTGGGAGGAGAATTACAATCCTGTCCCAATTCAGGTATAAAATGCCTCTGGCCATTTGGTATCACCGTTCATCTGCTGTATCTTTTGCCACAGTTTAGATACAGGGGTAGGCAACCTTGGCTCTTTTATGACTCGTGGACTGAGCAATGCTGGTTCAGGAATTCTGGGAGTTGAAGTCCACGAGTCATAAAAGAGCCAAGGTTGCCTACCCCTGTTTCAGGGTGTGGTTTTCTATAATAGCATCCAGGTTTCAATTTCAGATTATTATAACTCCAGTGGAAGTTGATCAAAAGAAAAAGGCGTAGCTCTTGTGGTCCCACAGGTGCTTTTCAAAAGGCAACTGGACTTGGGTGACTATTTGGGGTGGGGTTTTTTCCCCTTGAAAACATTTTGCTTCTCATCCAAGAAGCTTCTCCAGTTCTGAAGAAGTTTGCTCTTACGATGAGAAGCAAAATGTTTTCAAAGGAAAAAACACAAAACAAAAAAGTCTGGTTGCCTTTTGAAAAGCATTTTTGGGACAAGCAAGACCTGGATGATGGAGAATCTCCATAGACGCATAGCTCCTGTTGCATTGACTAAGTGTCAACACTGCTAACATCGGATGTTCTCGCTTTGACAACATATGAAGATGCAGCCATTTTCTCTTTAACCTGTGTGTTACTTCTAGAGTTAGGATTAGATGATGCTGGGGGGAGGGAGGGGGAAGAATGTGTATGGGGATTAGTTAGACATGACAACATTGCAGCGGAGTATTCTTCCAGGCTGTTTGAAATAAAAGACGATAAGGAATGGCGGGTTATGGAACTGGAGGGAAGGTCTGCATTTCAAACTAATTGGAGAATGTGATTTATGACTGCGACTTGGAGGAGGGAATTGTGCTTTGATACCATGTGTTTAGGGGAGGGGAATTCAGATTCTGGCTTCAACTATGTAGTACCGAAGCTATGCTGCTCGATTAAAGATTCTTTAAGATAAACAAAGTTCTTTGAAGAGTTTTATCTTTCGGAACCATGACACTAAATTAGTGATGCATCTACTTGCGCTGGACAGTTGCAAATTAGGGCTGTTGGGGAACTGATTTTCTTTCTGTTTTTTTGGGGAAAAAAAAACTCCAGCCAGGACTCAGCCGAAGATGTTGAAGAAGCTGGTGCTCTACCAAGATCGTCCGCCTCAAGCACTTCTGCCTTGCGTAAGGATTCAGAGGAAACCTCTGCGGCCGCTGAGGTTGAGAAGGGATGCGTGTCTTCAGATGGTGGGGCCGAGAGTGAAGAAATCTGCCCTCAGAGTGATGCAGGAAGT